ATTTCCAATAAAATGGCTCTAACTCTCCCTGGGGTCAGGACACCAGAACTGTGAAGTGTTGGCCTTGTGCCCTTTCCTAGTCTGGAAGGTACATTTCATAAATACTGTCTCATACAGAATAGCTGATTAGATTTAGAGTTTCAAGGACAGTTTTCTGAAAATGCTACAAGAGAAAAATAATCAACAAAACCCTGACACAATGAGGTCCTGGGTTTTACAGTGTTGCAAAATCATTAAAGTATTAAAGTGGAAAATACAGTAAACCTTGCTAACTGCCTCCTCATTCTTAAAGGTTTTCCAGCTAGTAACTTTCCCCGCCCCCAATTTTTTATATGCGCTAAGTATTTAATTCTGGATAGCTTAACACATTTTTTTACTTTTTAATTGATTAATTTCAATAGGCCTTAACAATTTCTGGATTACAAAGCAGTGTGTATAGCATTGTTTCTTTCTTTGGAGATACTAATATTGAAATTACAGTTTCAGTGGAGCTCAGAGAAATTCTAGAGTAGCCAAAAAGTTACATTTTTTACATGCATAAGCATCTTTTATCATTTCAATTACTTTATTACCTTGTTTCAGAAGTGCCTTTAAAATTTGGAAACTAAAAGCCATTTTTCCCCCAGTTCATATACTCATCTTTCAGAATGAAATGCTTTCCTTTTGGAAGGCGATGGATACTTTTTAACAAATTATTTGTTCTAGTAAATTTCAAGTGCTCCTTAGATAAGAATATAGTATTTAGGAAGCAAGAATTAGTTTTGGGGTTCTTTCTTCCCAGAAGATAAGGCAAAATAGCGCAATTTTTGTTCCTTGCAGAAAACAGTTGCCCTACTTTTGAACAAAACAAAATAAAACGTATGTCATTCATTCACTAAAAAATTGTTACGGATTACCTACTATGTGCCAACAAGCACAATGCTGAATGCCGGACAGGCCTTTGTCAGTATAAATTAGATATGTTTTCTTTTCAGCTGGAACTATAGGATTTTGATTCTTTCAGATAGCTCTTTTCCTGCCTATTATTTTTTCCTTTCTATTCTTTTTAAAAAAATAATTAGCCTCTTAATAAGCCATACAGAATCTTACTTTCTTCTTTAAAGCTCCACCAGTCAGAATCTCTTTTCACCATTTAAAGAAATGGAGTCTATAAATAGTTTGAACTTATTAATATCTATTGAAAGTATGGGCCAGAATAAAACCTGGTTATAAGATTTTTGACCCAATGGTGAACTATAAATAAAAAGTAATAAGCCAGTCTGTAATGGGGAATTAAACTATCCATTTTGTTATTCTAATTGCAAAAATAGGCAACAAATTAAAGGAGATGAAACTTGTACTACTAATAATTAAATCTATTAGTTATTACAGAAAAATGAGGAGAATAATTGATTTCTTTTTAAAATTTAAAATACAATGATATTTTTATGAATAATACTCTAAACAAATATTTTCATTCATACTTTACTCTTGAGGATTCTATAATCTTTAACAAATCACATCTTTTATTACTTTTGTGTAAAACTGTTAGGCTTTAAATTATTTGTAGTGAAGCAATCAAACACTATTTCACAAGTTATTTTCTAAACAATTAGCTGATTTTCAAGGGAAGGTCTATCAGCCTCAGGTGAAATAGGAAAGACAGGACATTAATTTGCACCCAGGAACACCCTCTCTTAATACAGCAGAGACCAAAAGTATAAAGCAAGTTTATCATCATGGAAAGAATGCTATTTTTTTTTTTTTTCATTTAAGAGCGAAGCACTAGATACTCATTAATGAAATATTACAAAGACAGGAGTCTCAGTTATGTTACTCTATTAACTCTACCAAACTATGTGGTTTCAAATATTAATCTTTATTGTTTAAAACAAAGGTCAAGGAGCCAAACTAACTTGTAGAACTGTGCCACAAGTCCAAACATTCCTTCCTAAGACTGAATGCCTCTAGTTCTTAAAAATCCTCAAGGTCTTCTAAGGAGTGACATGGTCAACTCGTTGGGGTTCTAAGGAGTGACAGGGTCAATTCATACGGGTGCATATGCTTCTGATGGTTTACCTGCTCACCTCTGAGACAACTACAGGTGAGTTCAGTTATTTGTGGGAGGTGCAAGAGTGTGAATGAGAATCAATTCTCAGGAAGCAGCATAAATTGCTTCAGTGTGGTTTACTGGTCTCCAAGAAGCAGTTGTCAATTAGCTCTGACCCGACACAAATGTAGACGTAGAGGAGAACGTTTCAAAATGTCCTCTAACACTAAATTTCTTTTTTTCCTTCTCTTCCTTCTTCTGTTCTTACAACGTAGAACAATCATGCCACCATAGATGATTCATACTATAAACAGAAAACCAATCAATCTCCGTACTAAAAGAAAATTAATGAGAAATTTTGTACAGCCATTGATTCCAACACATCCATTCCTGCTAATGTGACTCCTGTTCAATCTGAAGTCTTGAAGAGCGTAATGTGAATGTTTATTCTGTTGGTTAAACTATTCTGCATTTCCAGATACACTTTATACTGCAGTTATCTCTATGCTCAGAACAGCACATCTACGAAGAAGTTCTGATGAAGAAAAAGATGGTATTTTGACTACTTTATCAAAAATCCATATGAAAACCCATATTTTTCAAACTTATTATTTTAAAACATCAATACTGTTCTGACTTCTCCCGAGTTCAAACTAATTGAAGGTTATGAAGTAACCACTTCCCCCCAGAAGCCAGAACTTTCACCTCTTCTGAACAGGGGGAATACCTCTCATAAATTAGGTAAAAAATAAGGTCTTGCTGATTGAATGATAGTCCAAGATTCCAGCAGCCTGTGATTTCTTATCTAGATCTTCTATCTACCACAATGAGCCATCCCTGAAAGTCAAGGCAGTAATTTCATCAATTATCTGAAAGTTTGAAAGCAGTAGTAAAAACAACCTGCCTAAATACCAGTTTCTTAAACCAGCCTCAGTTTGTTCCAAGGAACATGACAAGAGAAATACGAGAAATATGATCACTAAACCTAAAATTCTGCCTATTTCAGACTGAGCGTTTACCATCGGCAACTCAGTCATCACAGATGGGCTTAAGAGGCAGAAGTAAGAAGGAAGTACAAAGATCAAAGCAGTGCTTACAAAGGGGAAGGACTATTTTTGTATACATACTCCAGTATTTACTAACTCGATTTGAAAAACAGGGTGTTTATTCAGCCCATCTGAATGACAACTGCTGAACATTAGATCAAACTGAAATTTGAAAACAAAGACAACAGATTTTCAAACCCTAATTTTCAAACCCACCAAGCCCTAATTGGATTATAGCATTTCCTTTAAAAAGTCTTTCAAACACATTAGAAGTGATTTACTATTCACAGCAAGCAGTATTTCAGTGCCAGCATTAAATCTACACATAATGAGCCTTTCTTTGTGTTCACATTTGTCCAGTAGGCTGTGGCCCAGGAAGACATTTTATCTAAACAAGCTCCAGAGGGCATTGAGGAGTTGCAGGTATATTAATATGGATGAATAGTTTCAGGAGATTTCATGTTTCCGTTTATGATACATGTTTAGCTCCCCTTAGCAATTTAATTACACGATAAATGTAAAATGCTACAGGAAACAAATGTTTGTATTTCCTGTCTTCCCAAGTTCATAAGCTCAAAAAATACTTTGCTTTAAATTATTTACATAATTTCTTTACTGCATCAAACAGTAAAAGGATTCACCTCTAGAAAGCATAATATTAAAATTAGGAAAACAACATACTTCAGCTAAGAACTTTATTTTAATCAAGATTCCCTTTTAGTTTTAACAAACACTATGCAATTTAAATTACTCAAGAATATTCAATTGAGATGCTTTGCTATAAAAAAATAAGCACTGAACATCTTAATCCCAAGCTTCAGGGTTTACCAAAGATCACCAGTTGACAGAACATTTGTATGCCAGAGTTATTAAATGTTTTAGTAATACTATAGTCATTTTCTCAGATTATGGGCTTTATAACAATATCTTTAAGTTAAATATAGTTATTTAATAAGCTGCAGTGCTGAAACACCCTACTTAACAAAGTCCATGAAAATGTCTTAAATCTTGATAATCAAATACTGTGTCATCAAGTCCCATTTAGGTTTCACTACAGACCAATAAATCAGGGCAAACATCTCCATTGGTATCTATTTGTAAAGACTATAGGAAAACTTGTGTTTAGGCTAGGCTTTGTTTATATCATCATTTTTGTTTTGGAGGTCATGCACGACACCCGGTGCTCCGGTGCCGATGTCCAAGTGTTTTACATAATCGGTGTCTAAAAAGTGCTCTAAGTAGGTAATTTCTTTTCTCAGATGCCAGGCCCTGTAGGGTCAGTACCAGGGCCTCCTTATTTTTTGAAAAGTAAGGTACAGATCCTATAGTAGGTGAATATATTATGTCCTGGTTGGGGTGTGCGTGTGAAGCAGAGGCTTCTTTTTGAAGTAGGGGATGAAGGAATAAGGCTGTTTTATTCAATTGGGGGGGGGGGGTGCTGGGGAGGGCTTTCCCAGTCAAGAGGACTGACATACACTTCTGCTTTCATTTCATGGACCGCCCTTAGGTGAAATCTGGTTCAGCACTGCACCAACCACCTTCCCCTCTCCAAAGCGCACCTCAACCCCCAAGCCACCCGCCAAGGAGGTGGTAGGCGTGGGGGTGATGATTTTAAAAAAGTTTGCAAGAGTTCCCCCCTGCTTCCCGTTCCCGCCCGGCGCTGGGAGCGGGGAGACAGGGCGGCCCGGGCAGCCGCGGCCCTCTGGCCAGCCGGCCCCTGAGAAGTCCAGATGTGCCTTTCGCCCCTGTCGCCAATCCCATGTGCCTCTCAACTCCTGTCAACCTGGTCCTGCGTCCGGTCTAGCCCAGCGGTTAGCGCAGGAATGAGGAAGTCTGAGCAGGGCTAGGGGGTGCGGGGCGGGTAGGTGGCGGGGCTCGGGCCACACGTCCCCGGCGTGGCCCCCACTTGCCCGAGTTCGGCTTACCCTGGTGGCGAGTCCGCGCTCGGCCTCCTTGCGCCTGTGGGCTCCCCTCCCGGGAGGCGAGGGCCTGCGGGCTGGGGAAGGAAGAGGCGGCGGCCGGCCGGGGCCGGAGCGGGTCCCGTGCGGGGCGGGTCGGGTCCGGGCGAGCGGGCGCGCGGTCTCGCCGGGCCGGGCCACA